ACATGACCAAAAAAATCCAACATATCATAACTAACAGACTTAAAGACGACAATGATAGAAAATTTTACCTCAGTTTTTCTCCATAAGTTTTTCAAGAAGCAATTCAGAAAAAACACAAAAACTTTTAGTACTTTTTTATTACTCAACAAAAGATTGGAACACATTGCATCGTCATCACCTAAACACACACGTTTTAAAGCAGAGTAAGAATAAAAGTGCTACCTTATTTCATTAAAAGATTGGAACCTTGGTAACTCTCGTTAAAAAAAACAGTGCTAACTCATTTGAGATTACATTGTATCACAAAATTTTATTTGATTCAGTGAAATGTATTTATTTTCTTTTATCAAAAAGAATAAAAGTTTCAAATCTATTGTATAAAATTGTAGTTAATTCCTTAAGCACACATTGTATTATTATTATAAGAGTGAGTTACGCCAAAAAGACACATTTGTAACTTTTACTACACAAAAAGACACTTCATGCTTGCAGGACACAACTCACCAAACAGATGTGTGTGTTTATACTAATATACCCTTTATATAACTAAATGAGAAGTAAAGCAAATAAAAAGTTGATACATTAAATTTTTATTATTTGTTTTTATTCTGTTTACTCTTCTTTTCTTTCTCCACCACGGTTTCCATTTCAATGGCTTCCACTCACCTCTTCCACTTTCATTGTATTAACAACCATTCCACCTTGACCACCACTACATCTACTTCCATGTCCATCAACTCAGTCCATGACCACCACTGTATCTACTTCAGTATCCATAACCATTACAAGTTCCACTCCAATATCCACCACCACTACTATCATGGCTTCCACCTCTGTATTCTCCACCTTCACGTTTTCCATCTTTACCATATCCACCACTACCTATTCCTCTCGAGTAACCATCACCTCTGTATCCATCGCCTCCCTATCTACCTCCATATCAACTGATGCATCAGAGAATTATATCTACATGCCAATCCATACGAACAAACCAATCTATGTTATAATTAAATTTACACGCCATTGAAATTAATTAATTTTGTATCCATGTAATTGAAATTAATTGTGATGCATCGAAGAAGGAAAAAAAACAAAAAAATCACAACAACTAAATAAACAAAGAGGAAAATCTGGTACTTGACAAAAAACTATGCAAGAGAAAAAAAACAGTCTCCAGAATTAATTACAGATGTAAGAGAGACAAGGAAGAACAGTATATTTATAAACTATCACAATTACAAGAGTTAAAGGTGCAAATTCGCTAAGCTGGAGATCAAGGTTCGTCAATGGCGATGGATTTCGAACCGCGACTCGTTGTCCAAGCGTCTATAAGCTCTTATGTGTTTATAACTGAGACATGAGAGAAGCTATGAGCCCGGATCTGGCGCAGATATTGAGATATGTGGAGGTGTCTGTTGGTCAGAGAAGTTTTGAGATCCGATAAGAGGAGGCGCCTGGGGATTGTCGGTCCGTGTTCTTTGACGAAATTGATGAAGAAGAAGATGTAGATTAGGTTATGGTTGGGGGTTTGGGGGAAAGTAGATCTACTTTCGTGACAATATGTGTTTTTTTTATTTAACTATTTTATTAATTAGTTAAAGACAGAAAGTGAAATTAGATATGGTTGAAGGGCTATCCAGACATTACACATGCACGATGTGTGCCTCTAGCAAAATGTGACTGTATGTGAAAGTTATAAGCGATATTGTGTCCTAAAGTGTAAAAACTTCTTATTATAAGACGTAACTACACAACACAACTTTACCACATTCTTAAAAGCAAGAAAAAGCGAAGCTTTAATACTTTTGTGTGCCACAACAATGGAAGCCATAAGCTCCCCTAATAAAAACCCACTTGTTTTACTGAATCCTTGGGTTAGAACGTTTAAGACAAAGTTACCTTAGCAAAAAGCTCTTTCGAAGTTTTAAAAGCATCACAAAGATCTAAACACAAACATGAAAACGCTGTGAGATTTGGAATGCAATGCTTGCTCTCAAGTACCTGAGAGAGCCTCTTTCACCATAGCCTCCCCTTTTTCGTCAAGATTATTACCACCACGACAATCATCCATGTCAGGTTGGTTGGTACCGGTTATAATTTGCTCTTCAGGACATGCCACAATCTCTGCAATCGTAACTACGGTTCATGTTCCGCTAGCTTCAAATCATTCTTCAAAAAGGTGAAAACTTAACCTACCGCCGTTATCATCTCTTCTTCTCTCGTGACGATGAGCCCAATCAACAATACTTGACTAATCATTCACTTTGTCATGAAGTCTAAATCCCGATCCGGAACACTCGTTCACAGACACCGTCGGCTTCCAGCTAACGCAACCCATTTTTATAGAATTTCAAATACTTCTCATACATACTAATCATTAATCACCACATACCACCTAAATCTCCTCCCGGCGGCGATGACGTAGGATCCATTGCCATTACTGGATCCAGGTTTGAGTGTATCTCTAATTGATTTGGGAAAGTATAATCAATGTTTTAATAGTGAAGAAAAATACTAGTTAGCCAAGTAGAATAAGTACTTTTACAAAAAAAAAAAGAATAAGTAACTAGAGAAAGTTATGTTTTGAAAGGTAGATTGGACAATCAACACGTAAAATGTGTGTTACCAGTGGAATGTGTCTTTTAGTATAACTAGGAAGTCAAAATGTGTCTCTCAAAGTAATTTTTTCTATCTTCAATACATGGACAAGAATCCAAGTACAAGACCATCGACTTTTTCCACTATTCAAAAAGCTTTCGATCAAAAGCTCACTACCAATAAAGTAGGCCGTGCAGAAGAATCTAGCATTATTATAATTTGAAAATGCCTAACAAACTGGCCCAAAAATATTAGGACATAAAATCGCACTAAAGGCCCAACAAAAGCAAGTACATGCCTTGTAAAATTAAATCATATTTTACTCACTGCAAAACCTTGAAAACAGTACTGTTAAGTCCGTTTAGACTTAGTAAGCTGTTGAGAATAGATTAGCGTTGTTGGAATAATCACCGCAGGACATGCTGGTTGACAGGTAAAGGTCGTATGGCGGCTCCGGGATTGCATATATGAGTAAAAAAATGTCAAGTTTAGCTTGGTAAAACAATTACAATTTCACATAGAAAACATAAAGTACTCTAAATCATACCATCTTAAGAAAAAATTATTTATGTAGTAACATTTACCTATTTTATGAGAAATCTTGCAGACTTCTAATAATTATGTTACTTCGTAATTTCTTTGAGAAAAAAACACAAGGATGCCACATAGAGAAATCTTTCATTACATACAAGCAGAAAAGTTAAAACAACCTCCTAAATATTATTTGAGAGGATTTGATGTCATCTCTACAATTATTTTCACTAAAAAAAAAGATGACACGGAAAAATATAATTGATGACGTGACTTATCAATAAATCTGACATGACAAATATATTTAATATAGATTTATATTTTTGGTAAAATATTTAGAATATAGAAATAACCAACACATCATCATTAAAATAAATATAATTAAATATGACATTAAATAATACAATAGGAAAAGTATAAAATATTTAATAAATTTCGAAATATTATTTAAGTCTATTTTCATAGTCAAGAATAAATTAATTTCTTGATAAATTTATTGATAAAACTTAATTTTTTTAAAAATTGATATAACTTAATTTTAAAATTTTTTGATAAAAATGGATAAAACTTAATTTTAAACTTGTAATAAAACTTTATCAAGAAATTTATCAATAAAACTTAATAAATTTATTAATATTATTTTCATAAATTTAATTTTTTTTAAAATTGTATAAGGTTGATCGTGCAACTGCATTGGTTTGCTCTTCGGAAGCGAAGGCTAAAGAACACGTTGAGAAGCTAGCACTTACTTATTTGGCATGAACTGAAGTTGATTTAGAATTATATAAGCCTGGAATCAGAAAGCAAAGGCTTCAAGACAATGATGTTTATTTTTTCTACATGAAAGTATGTATGGGAAATGTGTGCATGCTCTGCTGAAAGAGAGGAAAGACAAGCTGCTTGCTACATTGAAAAAATGATACTTTACTTTAAATGTCATCACAATACTTTTCAAAACAAAGTGTGGTTGAATCGAAAAACATTAGAATTTGTTATGATATCTGGTCAGAAGATAAGTAATTATCTTATTTATTAACTAAATCTAAGTGCATAGTGTAAAAGATGCAGTTTTTTTCTTTGAGATGTAAAAATACATATTCACCGGTGGCACCAATTCAAGAGTGGCTCTTATATAACATCAAAAAAGCTCTTAAAGTTTATTGTTATGAACTCGGACAAAAGTCTTTCTGATGTAGTTTAGTCTTGAAATGAGATCATAAAATAACACTGCAAGAAATGAGTCTTGAAAATAGTCTACGTCAAAATTTAAAAAAGCACATAAATATACATTAACAACCAAACCATATATATAAATTATCATTTTGAAATAATTTTAAAAACCGGCGCGTAGCGCCGGCAAACCCGTAGTAGAAAATAAAACACAAAAATTATAGTTTTGGGCATTCATGTTTTTAACTCGGGTATGAATCAGTTCTTATTGGGTCGGGTCTATTCAAATCGGTTCTTTTCGGGTTCAAGTCTATTTGGGTCAGTTTTTTCGATTATGTTTTTTCCGGATAAAATAATTTTGGATTCAATAGGTAATTCCAAATTTTGGTTCGGTTTTGGATCGAGTATTTTCGGGTATGTTCATTATATGCAGTAGAAAACCAAAAATCATTAGCAATGGATTTTTGATTGTTTATTAAACCAATATATTGAAATTAGGGTTGCAAAGAAAAAAATAGAAAGAAACGAAAAAATGGAAAAAGGAAGGACAAGAGGGGGAGGAGGTAAAACTGAACAACTAAAGATCCTCTCTCGATCTTTGCGATCTCTTACGTTACCAAAGCAAGACTCTCGTTCTCCACTTAATTACAACTCTGCCACTTCTTCTTCTTATTCTTCTCCTCAGCATAAAGTCTCTTCCTTTTTCTCTCTCTCTCTTTCTCTCACTGCAAAGCTCGTTCTTCTTTCAGATCACTGTCTGAATTCAGACAATTTTTTTTGGTGGGTTAATTCAATAATGTCGGAGAACGAGGTTTTCCCCGACGAGTTTCGTTGCAACCGGTCCGACGGGAAGCAATGGCGGTGCAAGAGACGAGCTTTAGAAGGAAAGAAGATGTGCGAGACTCACACCTCGCAGCTTACTCTGAAGCGGAGCAAGCAGAGAGCTGCTGAGTCAACGAGATCAAGAGAAGGAGAGATCGAGGCAGGGAGATCGAAGAAGAGGAAGATGGGGGGAGAAGCAGAGGCTGTTGATGAAGCTGTGAGGAAGATGGGGTTGAAGAGAGGTGATTTGCAGTTGGATTTGATAAGAATGGCGTTGAAGAGAGAAGCTGAGAAGAAGAAGAAGGCAAAGCCAAAAAAGAAGAAGAAGAAGAGGAAGGAGATTAGTGTTAACAGTGATTTCGTTGGGGAAGAGTTAACCAAAGTTCTTCCTTATGGGATTATGGCTATTTCTCCACCTTCTCCGACTACTAGCAATGTGTCGTCATCTCCTTGTGATGTTAAAGTAGGTGGAGAACCGGTTTCTTTGACTAAGAGAAGGTTTAGGTCTAAGAATATTGCGCCTTTACCTTTTGGGAAGATGCAGGTAATTGTGAAAAGAAAGCTTAAAGTTTGGTACTTTGTGTGTACTTGTTTAGTTTCTTAATTTTGCTTTTGTGTGGTTTCTTTTAAAGGTGGTTCCTTTAAAGGGGAAGTTGGTTAAGGCCAAGAAGAGGTGCCATTGGTGTGGAACTAGAGGATTTGAGGATTTGATTACTTGTCTGAGTTGTAAAAGGGAGTTCTTTTGTGTAGATTGTATTGAGAAAAGGTATCTTAAGTTATTATGTTTGTTTTTCTTACTTATCTTGTTTGCTGAAATCCTTGGTCTTTTTTTTTTATTCTGATGGATGGTCACATCAAAATTAAGCACGAGTATTTAGATTAGTAATTGCATTATAAGATAATTATAACTAGGAATATCCCACAAGATTCAACATTTGTGTGGACCTACGGTATAGAGGCTTAATTTGTGTGGTCGCAGCTCCAATACATTCACTTGAGATTGTTTCTAGAATCTCCTTGTTTCAAATTTTGCTCGAAACAGTCATCTTATTGAGTTTTGGCTTGGAATAAACTAGGAACAAGGGATCAAAAGAAGAAGTTGAGAGAAAATGCCCTGTATGCTGTGGATCATGTAGGTGCAAGGCTTGCTCAGCTACTATGTCTGGAGTCACTGAATGTAAGGTCTGATTATCTGATAGTTCTTGATTCACTTGTTTTACTTTTTCTTTCTTTAGATATTTGGTAGCATAAAGTTGTATAACATGTTGCAGGATTCTCGGAATGTACGGAGTAATATTGACAGAGTTTTGCATCTACATTATGCTGTCTGCATGCTTCTTCCTGTATTAAAAGAAATCAATGCAGAAGACAAAGTAGAGATCCAAAACAACACAGAGAAGAAAGGTGTTTAGATAGTTTTGATAAATCCATATCTTTTTCTAGCTTTGTGTTTGCTAATATCTTTCTATCTTAAGATAGTTTTCTTGTTTCTTGTTTTGATTTTCAGGGCTACATCTAGCTGAACCGCAAACTCATATCTCTAACTTAACCTCTGATGATCAACAGCACTGGTGCTCACTCTTTTCCCTTGTTCTCTGCCACTGTTAAGTTTGTCATATTATGTAGTCTTGCTTCGAGTTTTTCTCATACAAATTCATATAATATCTGTCTGAATTGCAGCAGTGGTGACTCTGCCGTTGTGGATTCGCAGAAAATGTCCACCCGCAGTTCCTCTGTTCTCAGGCTGAGTTCTGACCAAGACGGTAGTCAAGGGAGCTTATCTAAAAAGGTTGGGTTAGTGAAATGCTCGAATGGTATAAAATCTTGTAAGCCGCTCTTATCGAACACCTGCGACCAATCTCTGAAGACAGCTCTGATAGATTGCAAGCGTGAAGAAGTCAAAGAGTGCAGCAATGACCTTTCTTTGAGAAGTCTGTTCTCTCTGGAGTTGGCAAGAAAGTTAGAAACCAGTGCAGAGGAAATAATCAGCTGCTATGAGTTGCCGGAAACTTTAGATAAATACTTGGCATGTCCTTTTTGTCTTGGAAAGGAAAAGCCATCTAGTTTGAAGGAAGCTTCCAGGAGAAGAGAAGATACATCTACTAACTTTTTATACTACCCTACAGTGATAGATCTTCAACAAAATAACCTGGAACACTTTCAGACACACTGGAGCAAAGGGCATCCTGTTATAGTTCGTAGTGGGTTAAAGAAAGGTTCAAACCTGAACTGGGATCCAATAGGCATGTTTTGTAGCTATCTTAAGAAGAGCAATAGCAAAACCGGTGATACAACCGATTGCATGGATTGGTTTGAGGTTAGTGTCTTGTGTTTTGTAGATTTTAACACTACCCTTTTGGTCTTTAACTGGTATGTTTCTTATTCAATGACAGGTGGACATTGGGGTGAAACAAGTCTTTTTGGGGTCTTTTAATGGAGAAGCTGAAACTAATACTTGTCAAGAGAGGCTGAAGCTGGAGGGATGGCTTTCGTCTTCTTTGTTTAAAGAACAGTTCCCAAATCATTATGCTGAAATACTGAGAAGTTTACCTATTCCTTATTACATGGATCCAAAGCGTGGTATACTAAATATTGCTGCTGACCTACCTGATGTTATTCAAGCACCCAACCTAGGTCCATGCCTCAATATTTCTTTCAGGAGTGGTGAAGACTATGCAAAGCCTGATTCTGTGAAGAAGTTAGGGTTTGAAACTTGTGACATTGTAAGTTCTCTGAGTCATACCATTTCTGGCAGGGGTCCTTTTTCCCAATTGCTAGTCTTACTTATTAGAGATTTACATTAAAGAAGTTAAAATGTTGTTAGCTACATTTTCTTTAACTTTTTCTCAAGCTTTTTGATTTGCTCTGCAGGTTGATATCTTGCTGCATGTCACAGAAACAGTAGTGACAACAAAGCAGATTTGCAGAATACGAAAGCTAATGCAAAATATTGGAAAAGTAAGATCTAAAAACTCAGAAAAGAGGAAGGAGAGCAGGTTTGGTAGGGGAAAGAAACAACATAGGATTGACACTTCATATGCTCAGAGGAATTGGTCGGATGACTCTTCCAGTTCTGACTCAGAATCTTCACAATACCGTTTAGGAAGTGAGTTTAAGGTAGAGGAAAGAGAAATCTGCAACGATTCCTGTAAAGAAGAGAGCCTAAGCAACTCTTGTGGTGCCCAATGGGATGTTTTCCAGATACAAGATGTTTCTAAACTTCTTGAGTATATTAAGAACCACTGTCACGAGCTAGTACCCATGGATTCCAGCAAAGAACAAGTAAGTGTTTGGTTGATAATTTAAATACATATTGAAAAGAACAATCATTGATGTGTTTTCATGTTTATTATGTTTCGTTATTGCAGGTGAGTCATCCATTACTTGAGCAGAGTTACTATCTTGATGAGTATCACAAAGCAAGGCTTAAGGAAGAATTTGGTAGGTATCTTATATTTTTTAATTGTGTTAACATACTCAGATTCATGTTTTGCTTATTCTGTTCCTTCAGACGTTGAACCATGGAGTTTTGATCAATGTGTTGGGGAAGCAGTCATCGTCCCTGCTGGATGTCCATACCAAAATAGAAAGAACAAGGTCTTTTATTAAGCACTCAAAACACTCTTACCTTGTATATAATAGCAAAGTTATTACTCGTTTGACGAACTTTGGCATGCTTTTGCTAGTCTTGTGTGAGTGCGGTCCTGAAGTTTCTTTCACCGGAGCACGTTACTGAATCGATCAAACGAGTGGACGAGCTTCATCAACTTCCTCAGAGCGTCAAAACGAAAGCAAACAAGATTGAGGTAAGCTCCCTTTGATTTAAAGCAATATTGAATATAGAGGAGTATTGCTTTATGTATACGTGCTGCAAAATTCAGGTGAAGAAAATGGCTATCTATAAAGTCAGAGAAGCTATAAAGGAGATCCGGGAGCTCACATCTTCAGATTCAACGGCTGCATCGAGGTTGTAACTAGAACTAGAGGTACCAAATCTTGATTCTTGACCATTGAGAACTATACACCATTATTGGCGGAAAGATTCAGCTGTGGAGTTATAGTTTCAAGGAGTAGCAGAATGTAAAGATATATATATTGAAATAAACAAATAAGAACAAAGAGAAGCAAAGTGGAATTGATTTGCCATTCAGATTGTTTTCAGATGATAAATAATAAAGAAGCATTGATATTAAACTTTTCTTTCTGTTTTCCTTAGAGCATTACACTTGTTATCAACAAAATCTAATGATACTAGTGGTTCGGCCGCGCTGCGCGCGGATGGTTGTCGGATATTTGTATTATTTAAAATTTTAAAATTATTTCTTGGTTTGTAATATAATATTTTTTATTGTGTTTTGTTTATGAGAATGGTCCATTATGATATCAATGTGATGGCATTAGGGTTAGATGGTGGACATTTGGAAATTATTTTAAAATTCTTGAGTCATAGATGTTATTTTTTTGTTTCACAAATTTATTTTTTCAGGATCAGAGATAATAGCTATGAGAATATTTTCCATAAAAATTTATTTGAAAACAAAGTCTAACATTTTGTTCTAAAAGCAAAATTAAACAGAGCCTTTGGAAGAAATTGAAGAGGAACATAAATGTTCAACTTACACTGAGAAACGAAACAAATAAATCAAAAGTAGAAGGAGTACGTCATCGTGTTAACGGTATGCACGTTTTCCGTATAGGCCTTCTTTTAGTTAAGGTGATCACTGAAACTCATTATCCTTTTGTAGAACCCGGTACCGAAAAGAAGTGGAAACAGTTGGAGCAAACCGTGATCTTCGTCCCCTGTTGAAGATGGCAGTTCTAGGGTGGCCACATCTTTTTTAGTGAGGTAAGAAAGATATCCTTCATGTGAAATTGGGGGTGCTCAAGAGATTGATGAAATTTGGGCATGGATTCAAGGGTGAGGGTATTATGTTGTTTTTGATTCAAGGAACTCAACGGAAAATGATCGAGGTTTTTTTTATTCTAACGCTGTCCTTCTTAGTTTATTTGTGTTGTGCACTTGTTTATATAGGACGTTGAACACAGTTTTTGATTGTAACGTCGTTTACTTTTTTAAATTTCTATTATCATTATCTGAAATATCTAAATAGATGTGTCTGTAACGTGGCATTGAACGCAAAAAAAACTTCAAATTGCCTTTTAATTTTGGTATTATAGGTGATTTATGCCATTATTTTGCTGTGTTTCCGTTTTAACAAAAAAAACTTAAAAACAATTTGGGCCTCTACCACACAAAATAGCCAGCCCAACAACCACAAAACCGACAAATAGAAAACCAATTGAAACCGAAATGGGAGAGATAAATTTTGTTCGGTCTATTTGGTTTAGGCTATTGCTGACATGGCTTTTTTTGCCCCCTTCACAAATGCTGATGTGGATGCATGAAAAGGGAGAAAAGCCTACTTTATTGTATAAGATATGCAATTTACATATGTAACAGAAGGAATTACTACGAGTGTTTACTAAGCTTAGCTTGTTATTTGGCCAAATCTGATTATAAATTTACATAATTTGTTTACAAATATTTACTCGTTTAGGTTCATTTTCCATCTAAGAACAATCTTACCTTCTGCATCTCTATGCATAATCGTTAGGACTATGTCTGGGGGCTGAAGCCACCCAGCAGTAGTGGCACTGGGTAGAAACATTACAAGCATCTGTTTCCGGTCCTTAAATAAAATAAAATTTTCGGCTTTTTTTCATAAAAATTATTATAGTTCAGATGGTTAAATAGTAGGTGTTTTTTCTATAGGTAGCACGTTCAAATCCCACCTGGTGGCCTTTTTTTATGGGAAGCTTCCGGTCTTTGTTTTTTTAGCTTTTGAGGGCCGTGGCCACCAGACTTCAGGATCCTGAAAATGATGCCCTAACTTAGACAACTTATCAGCTGCTCGACTCCCTTCTCTGTACACATGGCTTAAAACGCGGTTGCTAAGACCAGGAATAACAATGTTGACGTAATCCACAATTTTCTTGGCGATGGTATTCACTAAGCTCTTGGCGTCTTCTTCGAGCCATAGATCAGTCCATCCGTTTTCAAGAACCAGCTTTAGCCCTCTTTTGAGGGCTGCAAATTCAGCTTTGTGGTTCCTGTATATTCCTCCAATATTGGCATGTCCTTGTCTTCTCGACCCTTCAAAGTTCAGCTTTGTCCATCCAAAGTTTAAGCTGTCAGCATAATGATTTGTGACTTATGTGTCAGATACGGAATATTAGAAAAATAATCTGATTTAATGAGATGTTTTTTATGAAGAAAATCGTAAGAAACCTGAAACAGAGCTCCCCTTCGTTAGTGTGCATATAAATAGTATCAACCAAACCTCAAGCTTCTCTTTTCTTTCTTATTTTACCTTTTCGAATGGTATATAATGATCCTCAAACTGGACAACATTCTTGATTTCAAGTACATGCCTTTGTTATCTAGTGAGTCAGAATTTTGCAAACTAATACATTCATGTTCTGAATATATAACACTGCTTTCGGGTAAAATTTCTAATGCATCAAGCCTTCAAATTTGAGGTTGGCAACTCCTTTGTCCAGACTGGGGTATACAGATGTTCCATCAAGCACATCATGTGGTTAGATTATGTAGTAAAGTAAACATATTTGTCTTGAATCACCTCCATAAATCTTGAGAAGAAAAGTCGCTCAGCGAGTAAGATTCATGATGGTCTCCGTAATACTTTGTTTTACTATTATAAACGTACGGTTATCTGGCTTGAAAAGTATTCGAAAGTGTCTAATTTTTCTGAGTTGACATTGGTACTTGAGAGGAAAGTATTGTTAGTGAGCAATAAACACTTCTTATTTAAGATAGCTGTTTTCTTTCACACGGTTGGACTGAGTCGCTGGATAAATCGTTTCTAATAAGCAAGAGTTGAGTTCTTTCTACTGTCGGATTATAATTAAGATGGTTTGAAAAGAGCGGCGATTCCTCTTCGTAAATCTTGAGAAGAGAACTCATTCAGCGATTTTTGTATGTTACCAATTACCGTTAGTTTAAAGTTCTACTAGTTAATTTCAGTTTTTTTTTAAGATAAAAAGATATTATGTATGTTTAATTTGGATATCGATTAAAGGTTTATGTTAGCTTTTTTCTTTTTAATCTATTAAAATATAATTACTATTTTCAATCAATATTTATTCTGTTAAAATGTTCGAGGTTTTTAGATTTTTCAATGATAACCAAAACCTATTATTATTTGTCTGGTTTCATCTTATATGAATTTTAGACACTTCTGATTTCAAACTAATGGTTTTATATTATAATTTCTAAAGACATGAAAAATCAAATCAAATCTTTATAATAATTAAAATAATAATTATAAAGACAAATTATTTCAATACAATTTGATCGATGGTGAATATAAACATTAAAAAAGAATATTTCAACTTTCAAGAGAATTAGAATCCTCACTTGTATTCAATATTTAGTTAAATATGTATTCACGTCAATGTGCACATGTATGTACGGCTGGACAAAATATCTATAAATTTTGAGTTGATTCTTCATCATTTTCGATTCGAACAAAAAAATCTGGATATCTGTAACTTTACGAAGAAAAACAAATACTAATATGCAATATTCGTAAAAACAAAATACTAATATTAAAAAAGGATATTTGATCAGATCCGTTATATGCTTATATATACAAATATTTAATGAAGTATATATATATATATATATATATATATATAAGTTATATAAATAATATATTCTATATAAGTTTTAAAGTATTTTTATTTACTAAATTTATTAAATTAATATTAATATCAAAAAGTAAATAAGTTTTTATTTTATTTTGTAACAAAATTTTATTATTTTAGATTTTTTATTTATTTTTATGGGTGGAACCTGTTAAAATATATTTTTTTTTCGGGACACCATATATCTGGATAACTACTAATCAAATCGAATCGGATTGATTATTCGGAGGAAACATATTTGATCACAAATACCTCCCAAACCTTGGATTCGCTTCGTGTCCATTCTTACATGTATGTGTATGTAAAAAATATATAAAAGTGGTTGATTAATATATAAAGATACCGTAACTAATATTAATAGAAATTTTTCTTCAAAATAACACATTAACTATAATATTCTTTTAAAATAAATTAAGTAAAAATAAAGTAAGCTTAGATAATAATGATTTTTTTTTTTGTAAATTGTCTATCTATATAGAACTTTTGTATAATCCATAGAATTGTGTATGTAAGTTTTATATTGAGAAACATAAAATAATATATTGTGTGAACGCATTTATGTAGAGTTTGACTGAGAAGTTCTATACACGTGACACATTAGCATATTTATTCTTAAATCGCTGTGAAACTGTCAAGTGGTAAACGTAATGTGAACATTTTTGACAATATATCTCTTTTAATATATAGGATATTCCCTAGTTGGTTTGAAAACTATTCAATATTTTTGGCTCAAAAACAGTATTTTTATTTCTTAGTAATAAAATCTCCAAACTAAGGATAGCCGTAAGAAAAAGAGAAATTAGGCCTCACACCAAGGGAAGATGCTGTATTTAGAGAAATGCCAATGAACGAAAAAATCATAACTGTTCACATGTTAAAAAGTCTCTGGTACCCCTACGGGCAAAACAACTCCTTTCGTTTTCCTACAAAAATCAGAAAATCAAAGAAATAAAGTTCCCTGCCACACGTCATCTATAGTGTCAGATTACATTAAGTTAACCCACACCAAAAAGACTTTTGAATTGTAAAAACTAGTGCCGACATTACCTCTTTCATCAAACCCAAAATTCTCTAAATTGGCAAGATCAAACCCTAGAAAAAGTCACCGGAAATACGGTGTGCATTACCTTTTTATGTGTGTAAAGGTTGGATTTATGGTTTGCAAACGTTGTCAAAACAACTTACAATTAGTTATTAGCTTGATATAACTTTATTTGCATGGCCACAATTATTGTTAACCGGCTAAGTAGATTACACTTAGGAAATCCTCATTATACTCAATTAATAGGGAGTAAATATAAGAGTAATTGCCTCAAGTGCCCTTATTTGAAATGTTTAAAGCTCAAATGTCCTCATTTTTTTCTTTTAATTTTATTTGTCAAACGAAAAATCATAAAATTAAACTGAAAACGTCAATATTTTTTATTTGATTTATAGAATTTTATAAAAATATTTCAAAAATCAAAAAATTGTTTTTTCATATTTTTCCAAAAATCATCAAAATATGATTAAAAACGATTTTAAAATAATTTTTCTTCGAATTTGAAACATATAGAATTTAAAGATTTATCCATGGGTTCACTGATCCATAGGGGGAGTTTTTGTTTAGTTTTGATTGCTTGGGGGGGTTTTGTTTATTTTTCATAGGAGGGGGGTTTTGTTTAGCCGTCCAATATGTTTCGTAAAACTTTATGCTAGACTAGTATTGCAAAACCTAATGCCTCACACCATGTATACCAGCGTGTGTAAATAGAAGAGACAAATATTTGAGTTTGATTCCTTTTTGGTATGTGCCACTTGCGTCAGAGAATATGTGGACGGGAAATCGCCTGAAGTTGCTACTGTTTCTGTTTTCTTTACCGATGCAATCTGATAATATCTTCCAATATCTACACAATATCTATACATAATCTTACTAAAAGCTAATTAATTTTGATACACCTATACATCCTATATACCAAAAATCACCAGAAGTTTATTGTGCAAGTGGGAAAGGGTTTTTTCGTCATTAGCATATACCCATTACTATACAATTTTTCTGTGTGGGTACATCCTTAATTTGTACATTTTCTATGGTTTTTCACCCAATTTGCTCGAAAAATCCTTTAATTTTTAGTCAAAGCAATACTTTTGTTACACATTTAACAGTTTGGTAACGGAATTTTAAGTTTGAGAGTTTATTCGTTAGAAAAATAGTTGAAAGTTTTCTTACGATCAATTTTAGTTGAAAAGTTTTATTCCTAAAAATAAATAAAAACTATTCAAAGTTCAGTGTTTCAAAAAAAAAAAAAAAAACTATTCAAAGTTCCAGTTCTCTCGGGGTTGATATTGGCACATGCCAGGAAAAGAGTAAGCAATAATCACTTCTTTTAAAATATTTTTTTCAACACCGTTGACTTGAATTCTTTGCAGTAAGTTCGATAATTATTATTGTAATTCTATGAATCTAATCATCCCATCATGCATGGACCCAATAACCTCACAAATACAGCCCACTTGTGTCTCCTTACTGAATTTTATCTTTGTTTTTTTATCAGCAAGTTGTGTTCTTTTGGCTGTCTAATTTTGAAATACGTCAAAGAACACACTATGTTTTCTAAGAATCCGCGGTCAAATTCAAATCGACTTTTATCATACGTCCTGTAGTTTTCTTTAAAACTACAGATAGAAGAAAAAAAGCGTCAATCAGTTAACCCAAAAAAAAAGAGAAAAGCTTCAGTCTTCCAATGGAACATGTCAGAGTTCTCGTCTTTTGTGCTTGTGTCCTAATGTTTGTTCCGTTTCACGCTTTAGCTCAAGTAGATACCTATGTGTTTTCTCCAAGATACAGCTGTGCAAATCGAGGCAACTTCACGGCCAACAGCACTTTTGCCGGAAATCTCAACCGCCTTGTCTCCTCTCTCTCCTCACTAACATCCAAACCTTATGGCTTCTACAACCTCTCCTCCGGAGACGCATCTGGAGAAAGTGCTTATGCCATTGGTCTCTGTAGAAGAGAAGTCAAAAGAGATGCTTGTCTCAGCTGTATTCAGACAGCTGCCACAGATCTCACCGAGTATTGTCCGCGGTCAAAACAAGCTGTTATGTGGTACACGCACTGTATGTTTCGTTACTCGAACAGGACAATCTATGGAAGAAAAGAAACGAGCCCTACTCTGCATTTTTATTCCGGTAATACGATATCAAACAACAGAGATGAGTTTGAGCGTCTGCAGAGAGTGCTATTGGATAGGCTCAAAGGGATAGCTGCGGCTGGTGGTCCGAATAGGAAATATGCTCAAGGAAACAGTACGGCTTCGCCAGGGTACGGGAGATTCTACGGAAGTGCGCAGTGTTCCCCGGATTTGTCTCAACAGGATTGTGATGACTGTTTAACTTTTGGGTTTCAGCGTATCCCAAGCTGTTGTGATGCTCAGACTGGGCTTAGATGGTTTTGTCCTAGTTGTAACTTCCGGTTTGAGACGTCGAGATTCTATGAGCTTGAAATCGACCTAGAGGCTGATCCACCTGCTATTCAGCCTGCTGATTCACCAACATCAGCTGCAGAAACTGAGAGAACAGGTATGTAAAATCTTGGATGTGACCAGAGGTCATTAGCTCAACTGGAAAAGACCCTTGGCCATCGAGGTCTCCAGTTCAAGTGATTGCTGGGACGAAACTTATATTACATGTTGTGGTTTTGGGTCTGGGGGGATTACAGGC